CAGTTGTTATATGTAACTGTTGTATGGTCTATCTTTTGTTGTTTATGCTTTTGGTATGTTTATCGGAACATGACATCCCGAATATTGTTATATAATGAAAATGCATCTCTTCATGAAATGCTTTGATAAACGTTATTTTATCATATTTTGTTTTGGGAACAAATTCCGCAACTCTTTTAAATCAATCGATTTACTCTGAAACTATTTTAAAAAGCATAAATTAAAACGGTCTTTTCTGGCCGTGATTTTGGGGATGTCACAGTAGCCCATGACATTCCTAGGTAATGACCATGTGGGGTAGCCCATTGCATCCTTACAGGTTTATGTATGCATGACTTATGTGGTATGTGTAGCTTTATATCTAATATGATATGTGTTATGTGGATTGTGTGGGGTATGCTCTGCGAAACTCACTAAGCTTCGTGCTTACAGGTTTGTTTATGGTTCGGATTGATCGCAGTGCACAGACCTATGATTTCTGCAATGAATGATTTTGGGATAAACTCTGATAAATGTTTTACTTGTGGATGATTTGAAATGTTTGAGATAAATGGTATCAATGTTTTAGCTATACTAAAAATGAAATTTTTACTCTTGATTTTTGGGTCGTTACAACCATCCTGAGGACATGGTGTAACACTTCCTTCCGATCCCAATGACAATCCAAACCCCTGAAACGAAACTCCATTCAACAGCTTCCGCAAGCGTTGCACTGGGTCTGACCATGCTGGTCTCTTAAAAGCTGATCCGACCTCTTGGGTCTCCGCCCGAGGTCCTAAACTAAATTCACCTGACCTGAACCTCTCTCATCGAGGTACTCCTAATCAATCTTTCGCCCTCGGCTCTGGGATCTATATCATTCAGGGTCTCGCACCCTGACACACTCACCAGCTCAATCATTAATGGCTAAATTGCAATAGCTGGAGCAACCCCCGCCTTGAACCGGCTACAACTACTCCCAAGACACAGTATCCAATCCCAAAGCGCAATAAATCACACAATCAATCCTTTCCGCATGATACAAGATATCCATGGCAAACTCAAAATCCTGGAAGTCCTTCTGCTAATTGGCTCACCACCGGAGCCGGGACCAAACCCTGGTCCTTCCCTTGCGTGCTCATCCGCATTCTGCACAGCAGCTATCTCCACGGTCCACTTATAACCAGGAATTCTCCTTCCCATAGGTTTCTTAGATTCTCCAAGATTCTTACCGATTCGAGTATGGATCATGTGCTTTTAGTAGTACGGGCCCAATACTACCTTCCGCACCTATCCATACTTTCCTCAGCAATCCTCCTGAATCCTCTAAGTCGCCTACTCCACTGATGCACCAAATATCCGCAAAAAAAAAAAACGGCACAATACCTACCAAAGAAACTCCTAGGCTCCCCCTATGCTCCCAACTTCACCGAACCGCCCCACTAAATTCATTGGAGCATATCCTAGGCTTTCCTAGGTTCCCAACCTCGCCCTGCCATCAGTTGCTGAAGAACTCCTCCTGATGTCATCCATCTACCTCCTGAATATCGTCATATTCACTTAGTAGCCGACTACCATCACTCAAGAGTTCCACAAAGCACAAAGCAAGCAACATTCGTGCAGTAGCACTGCGATCCAAAAGACTATCATAGAACAGTCAGCCCACATATCACAACTCGTGCTATCCACATCCATCCATCCTCACTGTCGGTTGCCTTATGCATGCAAATTATACACATAACAGTATCTAATAGACTGTCGAATAATAGACTCTACCCTAGGACCACAACCAAATAAGGAACAGGAAATAAGGCCAAATCAATTATTCTAAGGCTATAAGATCCTAACCGTATATAATTTTAAAAGCATACACTTAGCAGTTACTAATACCAATAATCATTCTCATTCTTAGCATGGCATACAGTATCCCCAAGGCTACAAGCATCACATATTAAGCCAATATATCGTTGATTACTCAGCACTAGCATGCAAGTCTACCAGCTCATACAACATATAAAGGCATCTCTCCTAGCCCTAACTAGCATGCGATTCTCAGATTCATAAATCAGTCATAACATATAACATATATGGGTATTCTGGGGAAACTTACTTGAGCTCGGCTGATTGCACGCACCACACCCTTTCTTGTCTTAGAAAAATTTTCCTTGAAAACATTTTTCTTTTGAAAACTTTACATATCCTCAGTTTGAGTTCAGACACACCCGAAAGTATGTCCGATTCCGTCAAACCAAGGCTCTGATACCAACTTGTAACGACCCAAAAATCAAGGGTAAAAATTTCATTTTTGATATAGCCAAAACATTGATATCATTTATTCAAAACATTCCAAAACATCGTTAGTTAAAACATTTATCAGAGTTCATCCCAAAATCACTCATTGCAGAAAACATAGGTGTGTGCGTCGTGATCAAGCCGTTCCCTTCCTTTCCAAGATGATACCTGAAACCAAAACTATAAACCGTAAGCACGAAGCTTAGTGAGTCCCCTAGAGCATACCCCACACACAATCCATATAACACATATCATATTAGCTATAAAAGCTACATATATCACATAAGCCATGCATACAACATATAAGAAAGCCATGGAAACCCTCCAGGGTCTTACACCTTGTGCCATTGGAACCCCCACGTGGTCTTAACTGCCTGTCATGGGAACCCCCACATGGTCTTCCTGCCTTGGGAACCCCCACAAGGTCTTCACTACCAAAGAAGACATAATGCAAACTATACATGCAAATATACTAGGATGTCATGGAAACCCTCCAAGGTCTTACACCAAATGCCACGGGAACCCCCACGTGGTCTCATACTACTGCCACGGGAACCCCCCGGGGTCTTTCATGCAAATGTCATACTAACATAACGCATAATCAATCAACAATCCACATATTACAAAATGGGTCGGCCTTGGTGCGTTAGACCTAGGGGTGAACATGGTGCGGTTTTAGGGCCAAACCGAACCGTAAACCGCGAGGTGCGGTTTTTGAATTCTAAAAACCGTTAGGTGCGGTTTTTCAACGGTTCGGTTTGCGGTTTTTGAGTGCGGTTTCGGTTTGTATCGGTTCGGTGTCGTTTTAAACCGAGTCATTCATATGGTGCGGTTTTTTATGTTCATCGGTACGATTTTTTTTACCATGATGTTCATGTAAAGATTTATGATTATATGACATGATATCATTTCATTTCCTCATATTTAGAAGCTGTAATTTTGAGTTTTTTATGTTGTTTACTTGATCACTTCATTTGCAACCCATATTCCCAAGCTCGTTTTTTATTCAATTTGCGCTTAGAAGTTACAAGCTTGCAAGTTGTAGCCTACATAGTGTTTACACTTTACACATAATCATTAAGTCACGAACACAAAGTGAAAAACTCACATATTAAACCTAATACCTAATTACTAATTACCGCCAAGTTCAATATATAATATATGTATAAATTAGAATTTATTAGTTTTTTAAATAATATGTATAATTGTATAATATAAATTAGTGATTAATTTTATTTTTAGTAAGCTTGCGGTGCGGTTCGGTTTTGGTGGTCCAGTTTCTAGATAAAAACCGCACCGCACCAATAAATTCGGTTTTTCAAAAAAATGAAATCCGCACCATCGGTTTTTGCGTCGGTTTCGGTTGCGGTTTTTCTTTTATCGGTTCGGTTTTTGCTCACCCCTAGTTAGACCCATTGGTATGGTGAGAAGACTCACCTCGAATGCAGGAGCACTACAAGAAAAAGACCCTTTTACGACACGCAAACCACAACACTCATTGATTTATGTTACGCAAAAGAGAGTGACATTAAAAAAGTGTAGTCTCTTCAAAAAATTTAAGGATTTAATTATTGCGTGCCCTTTAGTGTCTCATGTAAAAAAATAAAAAACACGGAGGGCAAAATGTGCGTGTGTCGCTTTATGATTTTTACTCAAAACGCGCGTTTCTAAAAATTTTCAATACCCCGCTTCAAATCCCCCTTCATTCTCTTCTTCTCTTCTCTCTGCAAACCTTAATCATGATACCATATCTGCTATACACCTCGACAACTCATATAATCGTTCTATAATTTTTTCTTAAAAACTCGCGTTCCCTCTCTCGCATTTTCCTCGCTATTTCCTCATCCTCAAGCTCTATCCACTCGTCCATTCTTCTTCCGATGAATTTATTTGCCACACCAGCAGCTCCCGCCGCTACACCATCATCGGCTCCGGATAACCCTACCGCCAACATGGATTCCTGTATGAAGAAATCAGTCAACCTACGTTTTCATCGATCCATACAAGTAGAAAATAGCTAAAAAATGGTAGTAGTTCGAAGAGTCAATCTGGGTTCATAGGTTTATTGGTATCAACTCAGGGTTTGGGTTCATGTCCGCTTTCTAAAGAGCCCCAAAACTTGACACTTAGGCAGTAAAATCGTCTCTGTTTCTGGGATACCGACTGTAATTTTGCTCGTCATCGCCTCCCCTGTGAAGCCAACGGCCGGAGACATTCGACAGTTGCATCTCCATCGCAGCCAACCCCCAGGGTCCATTTTTTCGTCCTTCTTTTCTACTTTTTTTTCTTCCTTTTTTCCATCGCACTTTACAATTGGGTTTCTGCTATTGGAGGAGCAACAACTGGGCATGCTGAGATGGGGAATGTTCGTGAAGCCCTAAAATTTGAACCTAGTTCATGATACACCTCCTATGCAACCTTTCGTTTTCATATATTTCAGTCAAAATTTTGAATAACAAGTATCATTTTTCCAATTTTGTGTTCTAAATAGTATTGTAGGTATTTGGTTGTTCTATTATATGTTTCTTGTATTAACGTCAAAAAAAAGTTGTGTGTTCATTTTTCAACAAAACTAAAGGGGATAATTAGGAGTTAGAATCGAAACATATATTGTAATTTATTGGGTTTCAAAGTTAAACCTCATCAAAGTTATAGACAATTATGGTTCTGAAAGCATTACGCATTACGAAATATTGGTGTATTTTTCACTTCTTTTTGTGAACGAATAAACAGAAAACAAGCTTTTGTCAAACGAGGTTTAAATTAAACTAAATCAATGTCAATTCCTAAAACTTGTGTTTGTGGATTTGTTATTTGTTAATATTCAGAATCTATGATTTTATTGTAGGCTCTACGTGTTTGGGACTCAAGAAGTGGCTCAAAGATGATGAAGCTTCGATGGCATACAAATAACATTAGGGATTTGCTTCTTGACTCCACTGGGAGGTTTGTGTTCTTTCAGAATTGCTTAAGTTTTTTAAAATTAAAATTTATATTTTCTTTGTGTAATTAAATTATTAGGTTATTGGGTTTCTAATTCTTTTTAAATTTTCAATGATGCAGGTTCTGTTTATCAGGATCTTCGGATTCTATGATTAGGTAGCTTTTGTATATATATATATATATATATATATATATATATATATATATATATATATATATATATAGTACTCATTATTTTTTTTTAAATATTAACTTTTTTTTATTTTTATAGATTATGGGATCTAGGACAGCAAAGATGTGTGCATTCATATGCAGTTCACACAGATTTTGTTTGGTCACTTGCTAGCACTCCTACATTCAATCATGTGTATAGTGGTGGAAGAGATCTTTCTGTAAGTTCACTTTTTTATATTTCAATGAAAGAAAATAAATATTTAATGTTTTTGTTTTTTTGTTTTTTTTATAGTTGTACTTAACGGATCTTTCAATGAGGAAGAGTATACTTCTTTGCACAAAAGAACATCCAATTCAGGAACCACGTTTGTAAGTTTTGCTTACTTTTTAGTTGAGGTTTATAACATTTTATGTGCATATGACTATTTAGAATTATAATATTATTACTTTATAGTTTATATTGTTGATTGAATTATTTTTTTAATACATTAGTATAACTTGTTATTTGAAAATATGGTATTTTGTAAGAAAAAGTTATAATTGAACAACATACAAATACAATTAAAAATCATTCAAAATGGACAAGTTTACAACATATTATCTATATGATGTTATAAAACTTATTAAAAACACAATGAAAAGCTTTAAAGTTGGTCTATGTGGTTTACTGATTTTTTTTAAGGTTTGGTCCTTGTGGTCAAGGGTAAAATGGTAATTAAAAAAATGAACAACTGAGTAGTTAGATATAAGGGCCAAATTTGTTATGGAACACCAATATAAAGACCAAAATTGCAAACCAAATTCTTTATGGACGAAAACTGAAAAAACATTTATACTTAGGGACCAAAAATATAACTTACTATAATTTTAATCTTTCTTCTACATTAATTGTAAGTTGTGTAGAATCTTTACTGTTTATATATGCGTATATCTTGAAGTTTTTCTGTTTAAGACTTCAAAAAACTAACTAATGTAATTTGACATGTATGTAGGTTCCTGTTTATAAAGAACCAATATTCAGTATTAATGGAATTCCAGGAACCGTGCAATTTGAAATTATGAACAATAGACGACACGTTTTAACCAAGGTACACATTAAGTTTTTCATTTTATTTTATGTTCTTTCATTTTTCTTAAAAAAAAGTTCACTTTTTTTTTTAAAGAGAGTAAGAAATACGTCTTCTATAGGATAATGCTGGTTGTGTAAAGCTTTGGGAGATCACTAGAGGTGTTGTGATAGAAGACTATGGACAGGTGTCATTTGAAAAAAGAAGGTAGAACTTTTCGAGATGGTACGTTTGACCATTTCATACATCTTTTCTTTGAATTTTGACTTTTTGACTTTTGACCATGCTGTCCACGTCCAGATCAGCATTCCTGTGTGGTTGACTATAGATAGTAGACTCGGAAACTTATCTGTCCATTTGGACACCCCACAGTGTTTTTCAACAGAAATGTATTCTGTTGATCTTAACAGCACCGAAAAGGCTGAGGACGATAAGGTAAATTTTAATTTCATTATTTTATCAATATATTACATTGCATACAAATGCACCTCAAGGATATGTTCCCATTTCTGATAACGGATCTTTAGAGTATGTTGATGCATTAGCAATGAATGATACTGGAACTCTTCAGTTTCATTGTTTAATTGTTGGATTCATAACAAAGATATTGTATGCTAAATGAAATTTATGTTGATCCTAAAAACATTTCAATTCATTTTGAAATTTATGTATGGATATTCCAATTCCATTTCCATTTCCATTTCCATTTCCAATTCCAATTCCAATTCCATTCGAATCCATTGAAATGCTCACTTATATTAAAAGCTAGATTTTTTATTTTACTTTTGGTGGATTCAGGATTTCAGAAGTAAGGAGAAGGAATTAAAAGCTAAAGAGGTTGAATTGAAAAGGAGAGAACAGGTGCTTATTTTATTTAAATCCTTTTGGGAATGGATGTCTATTATTATATTGAACTTTTAAAAATGTCAAATCATTTAGCTAAAAATAGTTTGACTTTCTTAACTAATCCCATCAGCATTTTGGTTTATTACAATAATACTAAACTATTTGCAAAGTATATTGTTAAAAAATCAACAAAGTATATTCGCAAATGTAAAGAATGAATGTTGTATTTTGTTTATTTTTAACTAATATACTTTACATATTGTTTTATTAAATGAAACCATAAATGAAATTCCTCAAGAAAGTCAACGGATTATTCACAGATGACCTAAATGATACAAATTGAAAAGTGAATTGCTTTTTTATAATCTTATTACTATGATTTTCAATTTTGTAACGATTTGCACATATCTATATTCCATCCAATTACACCATTTTTATCATTTCTTCAAATTTTGTGTTTGTAGGTCATACAGAGGCTGTACTTTCAGTTGTCTTTAGCCCTGACAGACAACAGTTGGCTAGTGGTTCAGGTGACACAACTGTCTGACTCTGGGACTTGAATACCCAAACGCCTATGTTCACCTGTACAGGTTAGAAACCAGCATAACAAGTTTACTTTCTTTAAAGAGACAAAAAGAACATTTACAAACTCAAGTACTGAGTATGTTTTGTATTTTTTTTTTTAAATTATAGGGTCATGGACATTGGGTGAATTCTTTGGCATTAAGTACTAAGTATGTTTTACGGACTGGAGCTTTTGATCATACACGTAAACAGTATTCATCTCCAGAAGAGATGAAAGAGGTAAGTTGATGTTTTATTTGTGTGTTTTTAGTACTCATTTATTGGTATGAGAATTGAATATATATATATATATATATATATATATATATATATATATATATATTACAGGCAGCTTTAGAGAGATACAATAAGATGAAGGGTGAAAGTACCAGTGATGATTTCTGCAGAAGAGCTTGGGGCAAAAGACATCACCTTATGACTTGTATTCATACAACAATATTCCTACCAATTCATTGCCTCATGATATAAGGTAGCCAACTTTTTTTTTGCATTTTCTTTTCTCCTTTCTTATATTCCTCATGTATATTTTCATGTTCCCTGAAATGACAATTTGGCATGCTTTTGTTGTTAGGCTGAGACCTGGAAATGTGATTTTTAACCACAATTTGGAATGGCTGAATGACAACATGGGATCTAGAGTTGACTATTCTGCCCCTGGTCATGGCTGCACCACTATGTTATACAATGTTGATGGGAGTCGGTAATATAGTTTCTTGAATTCATTTTTTAAGAATATAATCCAAATTATTCTGTTTTTTGATAAAAAAAATGTTATTTGCAAATTACGATAGCTTGTTTCAGGTTGTTTTCTTGGAGAACAAGTAAAGAAGGGGAGTATCAATATTCTCACTACCACAGATGCTGATGGTGGACTCCAGGTTAGTAAATTTCCTTTAGTCACTACCACAGATGCAGACGGTGGACTACAGATTTTTCCATGGTTGAGGTTCAACAAGGAAGGAAATCTTCTTGTTGTTGCTACTGCTGACAATGGGATCAAGATTCTTGCAAATGCTTTTGGTTTGAGGTCTATAAGGTTCAACTAATACTCTCTCTTGTCTCGGCTTGGCTTACAATCTTGTATTTTGAAATGCAGCACGGGACACAAGAAAGAGATCATTCTTCAGAAAGGATTGGTATGTTTTTATCTAACAATTTAAGGGCATATTTTGTATTTTGTGGTTGTGTACAGTTATGGAGAATGCCAAAATTGTGGGTTAGATTTATGAAATGCATTTCACAAACACAACCACATTCTTTTCGTGTTTTATTAAAAGTAAATATATCCCCTTGTTCATTTTCACTTTCATATTTTGTATTTGATTTTTTTGGTTTATATTAAGTTAACTGAAGCAGTATAATATAATAGAATAGAAAGTGTTGCTTTTTTTTTGGAAAGTAGCACTATTTCACTCTTTCATATTGACTTTTGTAATCTACATGTGTATTAAATTTTAATATTTTATACAGATATGGGTTCTATTGAAGCTTGGATTCTTGGAAAAAGGTATGTTACTACATGTGTATTAAATTTTAATATTTTATAACATAGATTGATGATGCTTGAAGCCTTTCTGAATACTAATGTGTTAATGATGAAAACAGGTATCATGTGGAAACAGAAGCATAACAATAAGAAGTAGAAACAAGAAGGTGTTCCTTAATAGCAATGCCGTATTAGGTTATATAGGAAAAACCTCTTAATAACAATATACAATCGGAACCCCTTAATATCAATGTATTACAATGTTTTGACATGATGTTATTGGATGAAATTGATTGTTTTGGCATACATTTTTTTCTATATTTTTGTATTATGCGTAAAAGAGTATCGTAAAGGCACGTCGTATATGCATATTGTAAATGGTTGCTGAAGCTTATGACACGCAAATGCGTGTCATCTTCATTTATGACAGGGGCTATAATGATACGCAATGCGTGCCCTAAACGCGCGTCGTAAGGTTACGACACGCAAATGCGTGTCGTCTTCCTTTATGACAGGGCCTTCCTTGATACGCATTGCGTGTCGTAAATGAGCGTCGTAAATGCGTGTCGTAAATGCGCGTCGTCTATAGACGACGTGCAAAAGCGTGTCGTCTCTTGTTATGACAGGGCTTTCCTTGACACATATTTGCGCGTCGTCTGAGCGTTTTACGACACAAATTGTGCGTCGTAAAAGACTGTTTTTCTAGTAGTGGAGCTTCCCGAATGACATCCTTAGTTGTTACTCTGCCGACTTCCCGGGCAATCAATACCAATCAGTTGACCCAATTAGCAAGTTGGGTTCCATACCATAATCCATAATCTATATATGGGGTAAAATGACCACTCTACCCTTGGCCCAGTATGATCCAAGACTAAGGCCCAAGCCCAAACAAAAGCCCAACACTATAATGTCCATAAATCCATCAATGGACCTAATCCGCGAAGGCCCAATACCAAAAAACCTAAAATACTGAATGGTCAACCCTAGTCAACTCCTGGTCAAAGTCGAAGTCAACAGTCAAGGTCAACAGTTCATGTTAACCTCCACTCGTCGAGTGCATCCAGCAACTCGTCGAGTTAACTGTATGACTTCTCAACTCACCGAGTTACTATTGTAACTCGTCGAGTTCCTCCCGAGTCCATTCCACTGAATCCCGCATCAACTCGCCGAGTCACCCTAGTGACTCGTCGAGTTCATCAAATCTCCAGAAAACTAAAGTCCGATCAGACCAAAACCCTAATCCTTCACTGCACTCATTCGGAAACTCAGAAACGGGAAAACCCTACCCCGACTCGTCGAGTCAACTAAGGGACTCGACGAGTTCCTTTAGTCATTTCTAGTGGGATCCAAGGTCCCAAACTTCAGATCCAACCCCCTATGGTTGAGATACTACGTAAAGTTGCTAACTTTACATCCATGCAAGGCATTAAAGGCTAAAAACACTTAAGCAAAGCTTGTCAAGGGACCTAGAGCATGAAGGAGGGCCAAGACTTGATAAAGTTGGCAACTTTAAGTCCCTAAAGGCCCTGAGATGTCCAAATCTAGAGCCATATCTTCATATCATTCTCAAAACCAAGAATGGTACCAAACTAGGCTAATAATTGCCATAAACTTTCATAGAAGGAGATCTAAGCAATGAAAGGTCACGGTTTCGACTTTATACCTTAAAATGGTTGCCACACTGGAGGAAATCCCGGATCTACTGCCTTCCACTCAATCCAACCTCTTCAAGCTTCAAGTTCCTTTCAAAAAGAGCACCAAGAATCACTTTCCAAGCTCACATACACATAAAATGGGAGATAAGACACGATTTAGGGTTTCTCTAGACAAAGGGGGTGATAAGGGAGGCTACAAGTGAGGCTTAAGGCCTTTAAATAGGGTACAAACCCTGAAAATTAGGGTTTCCCTTTCCAGCTCCTACTCGTCGAGTTGGTGCCTTCCAACTCCTCGAGTAGATTCTTCATCCCGCGTCTAATATGATCTCTACTCGACGAGTTGGAGCTCCCCAACTCATCGAGTCCCAACCCACAACTCTAAAAATATTAAAAACTGACCAATACCTAAACCAAGTGTTACATAACGAGCACACAATATAGTAGCAAACATAATATCAGGGCGATTGGCAGTAAGATAGAGCAGAGAGCCAACCATTCCTTGATAGAGAGTTGCATTCACATCAGCGCCATTTGGATCAACGCCAATAGACGCTGATGAGGACATTGGAGTCTTGGTTGGCTTGCAATCAGAGAATCCAAAGTTCTCCAACATATTTGCAATGTATTTAGCTTGACAAATAAAAATGCCATCATTTAGTTGTTTAACTTGCATACCTAAAAATAAAATTAGTTCACCCATCATCCTCATCTCAAACTTCTTAGATATGATTTCAGTGAATTCTAAACTTATATTCTCATCAGTGGATCCGAAGATAATGTCATCAACATACACTTGAGCAAGAATGATATGAGATTCTGAGTGTTTGATGAACAAAGTGTTGTCAATCTTTCCTTTTGTATCCACTTTCAAGAAGATAGGTCGCCAATATGTCATACCATGCTCTAGGTGCCTGTTTTAAACCATAGACGACTTTATCAAGACGATATACATGATTTGGAAACTCCTCATTTTCAAACCCTGGAGGTTGTTTAGAAGATCTCCATGTAAGAAGACAATGTTGACATCCATTTGATAAACTTTGAAGTTCTTGAATGAAGCAAAGGCAAAAAACAGACGAATTGCTTCAAGTCTAGAAACAGGAGCAAATGTTTCATCATAATCTAACCCTTCCAGTTGACAAAAACCTTGAGCCAAAAGCCTTTCTTTGTTTCTAATGATGATCCCATCTTCATCCATCTTGTTTTCTGAAAACCCAACGAGTGCTATAATATCTTTTCTTAAGTGACCCGTTGTAAGATGGATCAATGTATATCAACTGTATATTTTAGTTTTAGGGTAAAGAACATTTTGGTATTTAGATAGCGGTTGCTCAAGACATATGACTGGATTCAATTTTCTTCTGGAAGATTTCATAAAGAAGGATGGTTCTACTGTTACATATGGAGATAATGGCAAGGGAGCTACAAAGGGATATGGATCCATCAAGTGCAACTCCGTTATACAGGTCACAACCCATTTAACTATACAGGTCACGGGTTAGCGAGTTTGGAACATAAACCCAAATACGACTCGTCAACCCACTTATTTATACGGGTTTACAGGTTGGCGGGTTCGTGGGTCTGATTTGGGCTCGTGGGTTCGTGGGTTTGATTTGGGCTACTGGGTTCGTGGGTCTGATTTGGGCTCGTGGGTTCGTGGGTCTGATTTGGGTTCGTTGCGCCATATGTGAGGGTACGAATAAGGAAAGGGTTGCCATGGTAGTATGTAGGGGCTTAAGTTTCACGGTGGTGGTTGAGACGCACAAGTGACAATAGGAGTTAAGGGGAGACGGTAGTCAGAGGATCCTCCATGACAGGGTTGTTTGCTTCGACGACCATCCCTGTCGTTACTACCATGAAAGTAAGAGTTGTTACCATGAGAGTTGTCAGCGTACAGTACAGTTGGCGATGATGCATGTGGTTTATGTGATAAGGTTGCGAAGAATGCGACTTTCCTCCCCCAAAAGCTTGGAGCGGGCATGCAGAATGGTTGGTGGAGGATCACAATGACGAAGAATAGTGGTGATGTGTTCATATTGTGGTGATAACCCATTTATAAGATGTGTAGCAAGAGTTTTCTCGGGCACAGGAGCTTCGATATTATCTAGAAGATCAGCAACAATTTTCATTTTTTGACAATATTTAGCAATTGAGAGGTCACCAAGTGTCATGGAACAAATTTCATTGTCCAACTCTAGCGCCCGTGCACCCTTGTTATCGTGAAATAAGTTTTCCAAACTCTGCCAAACAATGTGAGATGTGGCGCGTTTCTTAAGAATCATGTTGAGACTTGAGTAGCGGCCACGTTAGGGTTTCATAGAGCATGAATGTCTTCAAAAGAAAGTCTAACTTGTACCATTCTTCATTGGTCTGGGATGTGGGTTTGGAGGAGTCCTTGGGAAATCCTAGAACACCAAACCCAGGATAGTGAGTTTCAAATAAATAGTGCCATCCGCCTTACATCATAGTTTAGTTCATAAAATCATTAGAGGTACATACGCCTTGATGCTTGCGATTTCTTACGGTTTTTGATTTGTTAGAGGGATAGTGGCATCACCCATGGTGGAGAGCTGAAGGTAGAAAGAAGAAGTAGAAGAGGGAGGTAAAGCGGCTAGGATTTAGCCTTAGGCTTATGAGGATCGGAAGAGAAAAATAATAATAATAATAATTAATAATAATAATAATAATAATTAATTAATAAATAAATAAATAAAGATACACTACATAGAGTGGGCTATAATATAAATGGGCTATACATTATAATTAATGGACTATACAATCAAATCCAATATACAATAAATATGGGCTACGTTAATACCTTGGTCATCCGTATTAATGAAGGACGATATAGAGAAGCTAGCCATATTTTACGACACGTGTCCGACGCACTGAATGCCAAGCAGGAAAGTTGTTTATGATTCCAGCTCCCAACGCCTTTCGAATTAAACAGCTACGGCTTACAGGCCATATATAGCTAGCTGCTGGTATTCTTAAAAAGACTGCGAAAAGGGGGCCACAATCACTAACCTACATTACATGCAACCGCACATTTGGCCCATGTTTCACTGGCATAATATATCTGGAATCCCCATAATGCCCTTTTGCTTTAATATACATTTGGATTATTCTATGGACGTCATTTGTTTGGTTTCAAGTTTCTTTTGATTTAAATTAAATTCGTATCTTATATTGGATTTATTTTGGTTTTGGAATTCCTTCTATATTTTCAAGTTTTTGTATATATGATAATTGAATTATATTTTTATTAATATGTAATAAATACTTTAATTTGATTAAAAAGAACCCAAAGTCCGTTACAAATTAATTTGTTTACAATATATAATTGTGAAAACTACAAATAAAAACATAGGAAAATAACTTGACAGGGTAATTACATTTTCGTCTTATTCACGTCTAGGCAATTTTTTTTATATATTTAAACATTTAACTTATTAAATTTGTTAATATATTACCACTGCCACCTGCTATAGCAGGTGACAATGGTAATATGTAAACACATTTAACAAGTTAAATGGTCAAATGTGTGCAAAAATTGTCTAAATGTGAACAATTTTTTTTATAAATTTCTTAAGACTTTTTATAATTTCTTATAACATTTTTATGATATTTTTTTTCTATAAGTTTTTGTAATACAATGTTTTAAACTTTGCTTATAATTTTTTTTAAACTTTTTCTACATTTTCATATAATTTTAATACAAGTGTTTTTAAACCAAATATTTTATAAACGTTTTTAATTTTTCTTATAAGTTTTTAACTTTTTTTTATACATTTTCATACAATTTTTTTATAACTTTCATATAATTATTTCTAAACTTTCTTTTATAATATTTTTAAATTGTTTCACAAATTTTATATGACAATTTAATACTTTTTAATAACATTTTAAAATACTTTCATTAAATACTAGTTTAAAATGTTGTATTAAAAAAATTAAAAGCTTATAAACTTCTACTGAAAAAGTATTAAAAAGTTGAAATAATTTTAAAACATTTACATTATATAGATTTTTTTTTTGTTTTTTTATTTGCTACGGAATATTTTTTTTATTTTTTAAAAGACCCTCCATACTTAAAACATTTACTATATACTTTAAAAATATTGTATATGCTTAAAATCAAAAGAAAAAATATAAGAGGCTATATAAAATATTTCACAAAATAAAAACGTTTATTAATTAAAAAATAAAGTTTAGAAGTGATCAATATTTAATTAATATTTAGGAAATCATGGATACTTTAAAAATAATGTTTGAAAAAAATATGACTAATAAATATGAAAAATAAAATCGCTATTAAAAGTAGGGGAAATGACTTATCATGGTAATTAACTTTTTGTTTTGTTCACATTTAAGCAACTTTATTTTTTTGTACACATTTGACCATTTAACTTGTTAAATGTGTTCACATATTACCATTGTCATCTATTGTAGCCGGTGACAATGGTAATATGTAAACACATATAACAAGTTAAATGGGCAAACGTGTACTAAAAAAAATTGTCTAAATATGTACAAAACGACAAAGATAATTATCGTGGTAAGTCATTTTTTTCAAAAACCTATCATGCTCATTCACCTTTATAAAGTCTTGATCGTATTCCTTTAGGTTCCAATAATAAAATTAGCAAACTTGCTTAAAAGTTTTAGATTAGGAAAAAGAAAGCAAATAAACTTACATTTTGACTAGACCTGTAAATGGGGTGGGTCTGGAGCGAATCACCATTGATCCAAAGCCTTTAAAAATTTTTAAAAACATTACCCGTCCCGCTCCAATAACCCTCAGTGTTTTAAATAATTGAATCCATACCCGTATCCACTGAATCAACGAATATCCAACCCATTAACCCGACTCTTTTTCAATATTACAATTTCACAATTTTGATGTATTCCACAAAGTAATATTTATCAAAAAATATAAAATGTCTACTTAAATAATATATACATTACTTAATACTCAAAATCCAATCAAATAATAATTGCATTTTACTTAGACATAGAGTTGCATACTTTGGTGTTATATATATATATATATATATATATATATATATATATATATATTATATATATATATATATTTGACGGGTTATAAATTGAGCGAATCGACAAAGATTTATACCCAATATATTTGATAAAAAGGTAAATGGATATGGCTCATAAACGGATAAACGAATTGAAAATTAAAATCCAAATCCGTAAAATTTTTAGAGATTTGGAGCGAATTAGTGTCAAAACTCACTCCAATGACAAATTTAATTTTAACATTTCTTAATTTATGATTAAAAATGCAAAAGGGCAAAAAGGTCAAAATAGTATTAATAAAATTGGTCAGGGTACGTGGCAAGCTCGAAAAACCACGTGAGGAGATTCTCTCTCTCTCTCTCAGGTGGCCATATAAAAAGTCTTACCAGATCTCACTAACCACCGAAAGAGTATGACCCAAAATTTAATCTCTCCTTCCTTCTTGAGAGAGAAGAAGAAAATATTGTGTTTGTGGGTATTTTTCTATACATATTTATATTTACATATGCGTGTTTGAATTATCGAAAATTGTTTGAGAAACTTGTGCGACAACCGATAGATTGATCAATTCTAGAAGAAAAGCTTGGATCAATTCATCATAGATATATACATTCGGTCGCAAGCCTGCTGCGGGAGTTCTCCATTGATTGGAGCTTTCGCAGCAGTGGACATGTAAGTTTTTCTCTGTCTCTCACCGATCATACATTAAAAAAAAAAAAAAAAAAAACGCTTTTAATCGAGATATATACCCAACTGAATTGAGTGCTGATAAAATTTTGGAGCGAATTGATCGTTCGTTTGGTTAATAATTTTTTTTAATCAAATTCGTGGTGATATTTTATATTCATATTTGGTATTCCTACTGCGAGAGTTCTCCATCGATTGGAGCTATGTATTGCAGAAGGACATGTACGTCTTTCTCTCTCTCCCTCTCTCTCAACAACACAAAATAAATGACAGAAACAAGCAATTCATGGATATATATATATATATATATATATATATATATATATATATATATATATATATGTCATGTATCGACCGATCGATCCAAATGATCGGAATGCTGAGTTAAATTTAGGAAGTTGGGTGAAAATTGATAGTTCGTTTAATCAATTAATTGCTGGTGTAATTGTTACAGATTTGTCCGATGCGAGGTCCGATTCAATACGTTACGGAAACAGCTTGAGTTGGATCGCAGATTGGTCTTCAAGGTATAAGGTATGTATTGGGATTTTGTGTATGAAATTATTGTTTGAGAAAAAATCCTGCAAATCGATTGAATTTGTGTATAACTTGAGCGGTTAACAAACTTAATTTGTTTCCGTTGTGTCATGCTACTGTAATGCTTGCTGCTAATCTATATTGATTGAACTATTCAATATGATGGGCTAGCTGTTGTGTGTATGCATGTCCCCACTTTAATGATGCTAATTTGATTCAAAATTCAAGTGTATGACTTGTTTTAATTTGTGCTATTAGTTATGCACGTAACTCTTAAGATGTTCGTGATCAATGTGTAAAACGTTTATTTAATAAGTAATTTGGCCTAATTAATTAATTATTCAAGTTACTGTTTTTTATGAAAATAATATTTGTTTATTTAGTCGATTCTACATTAAATATTGTTTTCAAAAGAATTTGCAATTTTCTTATTTAAAGTTTTAACATGTAACCAGCAAGAAAATAATAGTCCTACTTGATTATTTAGTTGACAGAGCAATTCATCTGGATTCTAGACAGCAATTATTGTCCGGTTGTTACTAGTATATTTTTTCCTCATATAGTTCTAGTTATATATTCATTATGTAATACTTTATACTATGTTATATTTTGATATTTGATTAGTGAAGACTTAAGTGGGACCAGATTCTCATAAGTCATAAGTCTCGTGAGTTGTCAGTTTTATATCGAAGAAACACTGTTAGGGGGCCTAATTATATATGGACCCAAATGCACCAGATGCGCATCAAGTACATATACAGATACCGCCATGCTTTTTAGCATTTATTCGTGTATCTATATTTGTTGACAATTATTATGTCTCGCTTTATTAAAAGCTTCCAAAGAGAAAGAGAGACATATTTAAAATGAAATAAGGAAAACAGTGAGCAAAATTTTATAATATATACCCATAATATTTTTAGAGCTTTTTTTTTTATGAAACATCGAAATTTATAGAAAGACAAAGACCTGCCTGAGAGAAGGAAAGCAGACAAAAAGGGAACAACACAAAAACTTATAAAATGTTAAAAAGGCAACAAACCCAATTGACCCGTTTACAAGCACCAAAACTATCCTTAAATTGACCCAATTAAACACGATAGTGATGATGCAATCCACAACTTTAGTTGCAGAGGAGTAAATCTTGTTGAATACTTTGTCGTTTCTTGCATTCCACACGCACCATAAGACACCATAAATAATAGAAATTAAGAAATTTTCTCTTCTTTGGGCATCTACCCCAACTAGCTGCAAAATCAATGATGTCTTTAATCGAGGTGAAAGTTTGTGAGGGCATATCACACCATTTGAAGATCCAGGTCGTAACATCGCAAGTGTAAGGGCAATCCACAAGTAGGTGGTCGGTAGAGTCGATAGCATTGTGACAAAAATGGCACGCAATAGAAGGGATATTAGGTCCTTGATGCATGAGGGCCAAAGCTGAGGGGATAGGGTCCATACTAGGGATGAGATTTAGAACCGGAAAACCGGACCGGAACCGGAATCGGAACCGTTAGAACTGGAATATATAGAACCGGTTCCGGTTCCGGGTTTAAAAATTGGCTTTATCCGGGTTCGGGGTAATCCGGGTTTGGGTCCATCGGGTCCGGGTAAACCGGGTCTAAAAACCGGAACCGGTGTTTGGAACCGGATACACTTTTAGGGCCAGAACCGGTTTTTATGAAACGTTTAAAAGATGCATATCTCATTCGTTTCAACTCCGATTGACATGTTGTTTTTTCCAACATGTAGTTTAGAGTTTGTACATGATTTTAGACTATAAATTTGCCATTTTTAGTTTTATATTCATTGAATCACAGTCCCCCAAAGTCGAGATATCAAAACTGGAAGTTTTTAGTTTTTCATTTTTTTTGTATTCGGTGAAAGTTTTAAAACATGCATATCTAATTCGTTTGAAGTCGGATTGACATGTAGTTTTTTCCAACTTGTAGTTTACAGTTTGTACATGAGTTTAGACTATAATTTTGTCATTTTTGGTTTAACATTCAATGATTTACAGTCCTCCGAAGTCGGGATATCAAAACTGAAAAATTTCAACTTTTCAACTATTTGTTTTTGTATTTTGTATTATGTGAAAATGTTAACACATGCATATCTCATTCGTTTAAAGTCGGATTGACGTGCGGTTTTTTCCAGAGTGTATTTTAGAGTTTGTACATGATTTTAGACTATAATTTTGTTAATTTTTGTTTCATATTCAATGAGTTACAGTCCCCCAAAGTCGGGATATCAATATGAAATTTTTCAAAGTTCAACCCACTAAGTACTAAGTAATTACCAAAAAATTCCGGTTTTTCCTGGTTTTCCGGTTCTAAACCCACTTTATCCGGTTCCAACCTACCCACTTTGATGTTTCCGGGTTTTCCGGTTCTAGACCCACTTTACCCGGAACCGAACCGGAACCGGTTCCTATATACCGGTCCGGTTTCCGGTTCTACAAAATCCCGTTAACCGGTTCCGGGTTTTCCGGGTCCGGGTCCATCCGGTCCGGGTTTGGACCCACTTTCATCCCTAATCCATACATGCCCTCCAAACAAACCCAATGACTTTGAGGGACACCAACTTAAGCCAAATAGTTGGGATGATCACACTGGAGGTCAGCTTGGAATCAATGGTGCGCCTGAGATCATGAACATAAAACTTACTATCTGCGGCGAGATTTGAGCTCCAAATGTCCGTTATGTCGGAAGGGGGAGAAATTATTAATAACATCATGTAATTGATCAAATCCAGTAGCTCGATCGGGTGTCTGAGATTCCTTTTCCTACTCCAACTGATGTCATTTTGGTGTATCATTTCTAATACAAAGCAAGACTTCCTTCGAATCTAGGGCCAAGAGATACGAGAAACGGGATGCGAAGGTGCACCCACCAGCCCAATCATCGAGCCAAAAGAGGGTTTTAGTACTTGAACCCACTTTACATGAGAGAATTTCAGCAAAGTCGATCTCCAAACCATCAAGCTCCTGTATAATTTTGACAACATTCCCCCAGACACCATGAAAGGATTTCTTCACCAATTTAAACACATGCTTCCTAGCAAGATTGTGAAATCCGCATTTAACATGACACCATAAGGCGAAATCTTTAGATTTTAAACGCCAAATCCATTTGAAAAGTAGGGAAAGTTTTATGCTTTTTTAAAGAACCAATACCCAGCCCTCCGTTCTCCTTGCTGACAAGGACCACCTTCCAATTAACCCAACTGATTTTGTTTTTCTCCTCGTTGCCACCCAAAAGGAATCCCATGCAGATTTTCTCAATCTCATTCAAAATAGACATAGGGGCCTTAAAGAGAGAGAAATAATACAGAGGTAGACTTTGCAACACAGACTTGACCAAATTTAGTCAACCCCAAATGAAAGAGTTTTAGACTTCCAAGTGGATAACTTGCGATGGACACGCTCAATTATAGGTTTCCAGTTGCATTTTAAAGACATGTTGGAGCCAACCAGAACACCTAAATAAACAAAAGGAAAAGAAGCTGCCTCACAACCAAGAATATGAGCACAACTGACAATCTCGTTATCTGGCACTCCGATTCCAAACACCATGGACTTATGAAAGTTCACTTTAAGGTCGAAAGAGACATGGAAGCATCTGAGAATCTGGGACAAATTGATAAAGCTAGAACTAGTCCAATCACCTGAAAAAGTGCAACATCGGCATAAAAAAGGTGTGAAACAGAAGGCCCGTTGTTTGGGATTTGAATGCCATGAAAAAGGGAAAGTTGAGAAGTCGATCTTATAGTCGTGTTTAATACCTCTATAGCAATAATGAAAAGGAAAAAGAGGGAACCTTGGCAATTTGGAATAGGGAATTCCCTAGTCGGGGAGCCATTGATGAGGATAGAGGCTCTCAAAGAAGCAAGGCACCCCTAACTCAAAATCGTCATCGGTTCCGATCCCCATTTTGAGACATAACAAAATCAAGGTAGTTCCAATTAATAGAGTCAAAGGCTTTGTCGAAGTCCACCTTGAGAAGGAAGACTTTTTTTCTTGTCTTTTTTTTGCCCAAGAACAAATTTTGTTATGATCAACGGACCATCAAGGATGTTGCGTCCTTTTATAAAACCCGTTTGAATTTAGTCAACCACCGAACTTTTGACTTTTTCATGAGATTTGCAAGGGCTTTAGTAATAATTTTATAGAGGCAGCTGATGAGGCTAATCAGCCTATAATCATTAAAAGTGAGTGGGTCTTTAGTCTTGGAGATAAAGGTCATTCCCCTCTTTTGACCTCCATCATCACCAACTTCCCCTAACCCTTATTCTCTTTCCTCTCACCGCCTCCAGCAACCTGCGCCATAACTATCGCATGTCTATTTCCCTTTCTCCTTATTGCCCAATGTTTCCTACAGAACCAAGGGTCACTACCGAACACCTTACACTATGTTTCCACTTTGACGAACCTATCACTTGTTCAATTCGAAGTTGAATTCCAGAACAACATCGTAGATAGACCAAAACAAGAGTTAAATTCGATACCACCATAGCCTCATGGTTATCCTAAGGCCACACCATATTTGTAGGTTTCCAGTGTCCGGAGTTGAACCCAAAAATAAAAATCGGAGTTGCACTAATTTTCGCCAGAGGCCGAAGCTGTAAAGGGTATATATATATATATATATATATATATATATATATATATAGAGAGAGAGAGAGAGAGAGAGAGATGGATGTCGGATTATAGGCGAAAGATACATAAGAGAGAGTCGCTTGCATGTGAGAGAGGGAGAGGGGGAGAGTCGATGGTCGGAGGTGGAGGTGGATGAGAGGAGGTCCATCGTGAAGGGGTGGTCGGAGTGGTTCCAATGCCATGCCAAAGGTGAAAGGAGGCGGAGTAGGTGGTGTTGGACTTTCATAAATGGAAGAGACAAAGAGAGTACTAAGATCATGCTTGGCAGACTAGCTAATGAACTAGTTTTTAGTTGATAAACTAGCGTATGAATTACTAGTGTTTGTTAAAAGTAGCTTGTAAGCTTAGACTGGAATGTAAAATGATATAAATGGACTTTTAGATATATACCTAAAAGAAAAAAGAGTAGACATAATTAAGGACATATTTGGAGTATTTTTTAAAAACTTCATAAAGTTATCAAAATCTATCTCAAAGTAGCTTATTAAAAGCTAGCTTATAAGTTAGTTCATAAGCTAAAATAAACTATTTCTATAGTTTTACTAGTAAATTACAACAAATCAGCTTATAAACTAGCTTATTTTTGCTAAATAGGGCTTAAGTGAGTAGCATGGTTGATGGTTTGTAGAATGCTTTTAGACATCTTTTCAGTCTTTTATAGAAATAATCCCAGAGATGTTAGTAATGTCAAAAATTAGAAAAGACAAAACTAGTGGTATTTTAATCAATGTTATAAAAACCGGTTTTTTAGTTGAACCGGTTTAGTTCCCGGTTCCCGGTTCAACCGGTTTAACCGGTTCGACCGGCGGGTCAACCGGTTTCTATAATTTTCATATTTTTCCTATTTTTCTATATATACATACATATATAAATCATGAATTTGACGTTTACAAGTTCAAACATTAGAAAAATACGTACAAATAAGTTGTAGATCACTTCAAATACATTACAAACTTTATAACATTTATCATATGTTTTTATTTAGAGAAAACTACATTGATTTGAAAAAATTCACCAAACTTTATTATGCAAATGGTTTTTTTCCATGTGTTTTTATTTGGTTTAACCGGTTCAACCGGTATATTTTCACCTGTTCAACCTGGTTTTTCTAAAAACCGGTCGGTTCAATCCGGTTCAGAAATCGACGTAAAACCGATGATAGTTGAACCGCTCCCTTCCCCGATTCCCGGTCCAACCGGTTCGACCGGCCGGTTCAAACCGGTTTTTAAAACATTGATTTTAATCCTTTCATAAATACTTAAAGGGATGGTATAGATGGTAACCGGAAGAGAGACTAAAATAGGAGGATTTACAAGACATAAGGATTAATGGTGTTAAATTTCCAAAAATATGACCAAACCTACAAGATGTATACCATAGTGACCAAAACTATAAATTGATTGGATAAAAACCTAGGAAGAAATGACATCGGATTATCTAATATATGAAACTAAATTGCTTGCAAAAACAAAATAATGAGGGAACTGATAAACTAATTATACATCTCAAACTTAATGATAGTTGTTATGGTACAAAAATAGTGCATATTCTTTAACATAAATAAATAAATAAAATAAAATAAAATAAAATAATAATAATAAGCGTGCACACACACACTTTATGGATAAATGTTTAGCATAAGTCATGTATACAAAAATACTTGGAACTTGGAAGTGTTAAGAACAAGTTTGAACAACTCTACACCTAAACATATACAAATCTTTATCTTATCTTTCGAGAAAAGAAGGTCCAAAGACTAAATTGTTTGTAGATTAGATTATTAGAACTCCAAACACGAAACAGTATAACCTTGGTGGAAACAAAGTAACAAAATAAAGGTATCGTTATACTATGACTTCTTATTCTAACACTAATCATATAGTACAATATAATATATACATTATACAGCTTTTTATTCTAACTTTTATTTGTGCAACGCTTTTACACTTGGAAGTCCCATTTTATATTTGCAGAAAAAAAAAACATATAAAATAATACATATTCTCTTTCTTAATAATCATTTTTTAGGAAGAAAAAAAAAAGTAAACTAGTTTGATGAACCCATGCATAGTCTTTTTATGGAGGGACAAGATTAGGTATCTGATTGTAGGAGCATGGCAGAATACAGAATTTTTCCTTTTTGTAGGCATATTTAATTCTTGTAAATCCTTTAAAATATTTGTACGGATGACCTGAACAGTGAGAAAATCTATAGTATTCGACTCAGGTAGCAGTGATGATTGGATTTAGTTTTTATATAAATATGATAATGATAATGATGATGTCGTTTGTTTTCACTTGTCCTCTTATTTTGGAACAGACGGACGGATGCTTCAAGTAAAGAGAAGGCTAATACTAAAGTTTTGTCACATTGATATCAACTCCATACATGCTATATACTAGTATAGGACAAGACAGCTACCAGACAATAAATTAGTATTCTGTTTGATTGGTAGTTGCTCGAGTTTTTAACCAAAATAGGGTTATTGAAAAAAAATATTTACCAATCTAGTATAGTTTGAAAAATATTTACCAAACTAGTGTTTTTCTTCATTTTTTTTATTTTTCAATATTTCTTATTGTTTTTCTATTTATTTAAATATCAGTTTTTTTACTTTTTTTTATTTCAGTTTTTTTACTATTTATTTTAAATATCAGTTTATTATTATTATTATTATTTACTATGCATTTAACATAAATATCTAACATACAAAAGAGCTTTATTATTTTGGTTCATTATATGCCTATTTGATTAATTTTTTTCTATCGTTTATATAGTGATTACGAGTTTACTTTAATTTTCTTATCATTTATTTATATATATTTTTTAAAAACTTAACCCTTTACAAAAAGAAGTTTTTTCTCATGTCTTTATTTATACAACCTTTGCATGCTTTTTAATTGAGTTTCTTTACATTGAAAATAAAATATAAAAAGCAAAAGTAATAGTTGTGTTATAAAATTTTGTCCGTATATTTTTTTTTACAATTTTGTTTTCACGTGTTTTGAAATAATAGTTTTTATTGATTTGGAAATTTGTTTTCTAAATATTTTTTTACATATTTCGTTTTATGCATGTATTTTATGATTTCTTTCGTTTTACAAATTAGATTTTTTTTAAAATTTGTTTTCTATGTTTTTACATATTTGTTTTTATGTAAAGACAAAAAATATGTAAACTTTTGCTTTTTATATTTTATAATGTAAAGACACTCAATTAAAAAGCATGCAAATGTTGTATAAATAAAGACATGAGAAAAAACTTGAATTTGTAAAAAGGTTAAGTTTTTAAAATATATGTATAAATAAATGATAAGAAAATTAAAGTAAACTCGTAATCACTATATAAACGATAGAAAAAAATTAATCAAATAGGCATATAATGAACCAAAATAATAAAGCTCTTTTGTATGTTAGATATTTATGTTAAATGTATAGTAAATAAAAGTATATAAAATTTAATAAAAAAAAACTAAAACAAAAATAAAATAAAAAAATAAACTGATATTTAAAAACAATAAATAGTAAAAAAAAACTGAATTAAAAAAAATAAAAAAGCTGATTTTTTAATAAATAGAAAAACAATAAGAAATATTGAAAAATAAAAAAAAATGAAGAAAAACACTGGTAAATAATTTTCATATTATACTAGATTGGTAAATATTTTTTTCTATAACCCCATTTTGGTTAAAAACTCGTAGTTGCTCTTGCTTTGTTACCTTACAAGTAATCCACGTCTCCTTTTTTTAACCCATTACCCAATTTAAAAACGTCGTCCGGTCAAAGTTTGGAAGTGATAGTTTCAAGGGTCACACAAAACAAAACCCCAATGTGTCGTGTTTATATTATTACTAACTTAATTTAGTATCTTATAAGAAGCCGAATAATCCTCAGAATAAGTGTTGGTTGCTTTGGTGAAATAAAAAAGGGAACTGATCTATGTTGTCGGTGGTGTTTCCGAGGTTCCAGTTTTCCGTATATAATCTTTTATGCCTTGATTGTTTTGGGTGCAGGAAACTCCATCCCAATAAACATAAACATAAACATGTGTTAATTAAAGAGAGTGTATGTTTCAGGGTATCTATTGTTGTTAATGATGGCATGCAGTAGTAGTATATCGGTTTCCAGCCAACCGGAAAGCCCAATAACAGGAAAGAGACCAAACATCCTTAACCGCTCAATCTCGGGTCAAAATTTAAGACAACATGCGAGAATTCAAAGAGCATACTCCGACAACAATCTATGCTATTCAGCCAAGGCCTCCTGCATGAATCAGCCTAAGTTGAAAAACAGCCCTTCAATGGGAATTTTCGACTTCAATCTATCGCGTTCTATCATCCCCAATTCCCTCAAGACACTGCTGTTTGAGACAGATTCAGATGAGAGACATTGTCATGAATTGAGCGATATAGAAATGGAGAAGAAAAGAGCGAACTGGGTAGAGAGGTTAATGGAGATTCGAAGCCGATGGGTTCAGAAACAACAGAGTAATGAAATGGATGGTGACAATGAAGAAAAAGAGTGTGATGATGAAGATGATGGGTGTGAAGTGGATTATAGCGATGATGAAGGTATTGAAAGCATCAATCAGGAAACATTCTCCCAGCTGTTGGATAAAGTTTCTTGGTCTGATACCAAAGATTTCTCACAACTGGCTTTTCTCTGTAACATGGCCTATGTTATCCCAGAAATCGAGGTATATATATCTATAGATGTTGTGTTACTAGTCTTTCCAAAATTGGGGGGCAAAAATATAAAAAAAAATTGTGACATGATTGTAGGAGGACGACTTGAGACGATACTATGATTTGACATTTGTAACATCCTCATGGGAGAAGAAAGGTTTAGCTGAAGCCATGGCACACGACTCAGTTCGGTTACCTGCGAGTGTGAGTGAAAAGGAAATGAAGCGAATAAACCGTACTTCAGCTTATGAGATAGCAGCCTCGGCAGCAACATATGTAAGATCCCACGCAGGTGGACTTATAAACCTCGTGTCTGAACCAGAACCAGAACCAAAACATGAGGAAGATGATGCTGCGGATTACTCTCCAAGTCCAAGAGTCTACAATTCGGAGATGGCTGCGTATATGGCAGCTTCCACTATGACAGCAGTTGTTGCAGCACCTGAGAAAGAAAAGCAGGAGGCTGCAAAGGATCTTCAGTCCATTCACTCCTCTCCTTGTGAATGGTTTATTTGTGATGACTCCAGTATATACACTCGCTGCTTTGTCATCCAGGTACTTTTTAATTTGCAGGCTAATATCGAAAGAAGAATTTATTTGTCTTAATAGAGTGTAAAAAAGATAGAGTGGGCTCCGTAACTATAAAAGGAGTCGATGGCTTTCAAGTATTTGATTCTTACATTCTTATTATTGGTTTAGAGTGTGAATCAAATCTTTGGATAGAGCAGTATAAGAGATTAGTTTATGTGATTGGTGTCAAAGATTACTAATGGAGATCTAGAGAATTTACTAACCGTTCTGGCAATTGCAGGGTTCAGACTCGGTGGCATCATGGCAAGCAAATCTCTTCTTTGAACCGACTAAGTTTGAGGTAAGCAAATCAGGTTACACACCTTCCTTGATGGTATAGCAATAATAAGAAAACCCATAATAAACTTACAAAAAAAAAAAAAAAAAAAAAAAAATGTTACAGGGAACAGGGGTGCTAGTTCATAGGGGAATATACGAGGCTGCAAAGGGAATATATGAGCAGTTCATGCCACATATTGTAGAGCATCTGGAGAGATACGGTGAAAGAGCAAAGCTTCAATTCACGGGGCATTCTCTTGGGGGCAGCCTGTCTTTACTAGTTAACCTGATGCTGCTCACCAGGGAAGTTGTCAAGGCGTCGGCTCTACGACCCGTCGTCACCTTTGGTTCGCCCTTTGTCTTCTGTAACGGTCAAAAGATTCTCGACCACCTGGGTTTACACGAAAACCACATTCACTGTGTCATGATGCATAGAGACATCGTCCCCAGGGCCTTTTCATGCAATTACCCAAACCATGTTGCCCAATTACTCAAACGTCTATGCGCCACCTTCCGCTCTCATCCCTGCCTAAATAGAAATGTAAGTCCTATCCTACATAACATAACTGATAACATATATCCCTATATTCATATACCAACAGAGTATGTATCTCCTTGCATATATGCAGAGTTTGTTATATACGCCACTTGGGAAAATGTTTATACTCCAACCGGATGAAAATTCGTCGCCACATCATCCTTTACTCCCTCCTGGGAGCGCTTTATACGCTATTAAGAACAATTCCAAGACCAAGGCGGCTATTCGGGCCTTCCTAAACTCCCCACACCCAATAGAAACGTTACAACATCCAACAGCTTATGGGTCCGATGGCACAATCCTTAGAGACCATGACTCAAGTAACTACCTAAAGGCGGTTAATGGAATCATAAGACAACTCACAAAGACCTTCAAGAAGAAACCAACATCACAACAGAGCAACCTTTTGTGGCCATTGCTGACTTCACAATCTCCACACTATTGGAGTCAAGAAACAAAGCTCAAAGACAACAACTTCACAGTTTCGGTTTCAGATCAAAACAGGCTGATTACTACAGAGGTGGCCTGAGTAGCATTGCTGTTAGGTAAGCTAGGGAAAACTACACTAACTTGATTGGGATTGTGATGTGATGATGATGATGTTCATAAAAAGGTTTGGCTTCAAATTTGTTCAACTAATTACATTATTGTATATTGTGTTCCATCTTAGCCCCCAATTCCCATTGTATGTATGTATTACCAATAAATGTTAATAATGAAATCCCCAGTATAATTAATATTAGCTGTTTCCATACATACCATCCTATTATTCGTGAATTATATGCATTAGGAGTTGCGCTGTGCTAAGGAGAGAGGAAGACTCATAGTGTCTCTGTAAATGGTAGACTTGTTCTAATACAAAAAAATGTTTTACCAGTCATTTGTAACTGTTTTTTTGCTGTGTGCGCTAAAGCTTTCTTGCTTTATGGGTGTTGGATAGATCTTGTTCCACAACGTTTTTTATTTTGAGAAAACAATATTTAGTGTAAATAAACATAAAAACAAAATCAGTTCACAGATTTTATATTATTATTATTATTATTAATATTACGGTTTTGCAAAGAAAAAAAAGGTTTGTTCAAGTATTTGAGCTATTACGGCTGTACCGGAAACAGGTAAAAACCATCCCAACAGCCAGCCTTGAAAATGCAGGTAAGTAAATTACATTTAATATGGCTACTTTTTTAGTACAAGTCAAAATTCAAAATGCTCTTTTTTGTAATTTTTAAAAAATTACCATGTTGAATAAAACGGTTTAGACGATAAAACATAATCCTATTTGGACCATTGAAAGATAAAAACATAATCCTAATAATCATTCACCAAGTTATCATGTTTATTCTGCATACCTCTCTAAGAAGCTCTTTTGAGTCCCTCTTATTATATATAGCACTTTACTTTCATTTCTTCTTATTACAACACAGCATTGTACTTTCATTCTATTTCTGGTTAAGGCATTGTACTTGAAAAATCTGCCCATTAATATTATAGCTATTTGTAACAACGGGGTGGGTTACCTTTTTTTTTGTATAAGTCATCCAATTATTTAATTCACGACATTTCTTTAAAATCTCAAATGTGAACAAAATTAAAATAAGATGAGTATGAGTTGGTTTTCCTGAGTGGAGTAAATTCTTTGAATTTATCCCACAAACCAAAAAACTACAACAAGGGAATAAGTAGAAACTGTCTTTGCAGTGGGTTGTGAAGAACAGAACAGGGATGATAATCCAAATCAGCAGCTTGGTATAATAACTAACTAATGGGTATCATATTATTTAAAGTATGATAATAAGAAATGTTATGAAAGGACACTGGACAAGGTTGTAGAAAAAGAATAAATGAAAGTACATTGCTAATCTTGCCCTACCAGTTAAATTATGTACAGCTACAATTGTTTCCAACTTGCATACAAAAAACCAGAATTCTGTCATGTTATTGTTATGTATGTGTTTTATTGTTGGTCCTAAATGTAGAGTTGGGAAACCGCCATAGACATTTCAAAGGTGACTGTTGAAACCCAGAATAGATGCATATAAGAGATTCAACCCAGCCAGCATGCCCCTAGATGTTTTTTTTTTCAGAATTCAATAGAAAACTCAAGATTCAAATGAATGGAAAGGGACGGGTGTGGGAAAAAAGAATTGAGACTGTTTTAATCCACATGAATCGTATTATGCACCTAGCTAGCTTGTTTAGCTATACCTATACATATAATTAAACAACTTTAAAAAGGTTTTAAAATGAGTGAACTATGTTTACTGCAAACTAGCTATTGTACGTGCTAAACAAATTTTAAAGACTATTACATGTGTAGTGCTGGTTAATTTAAAACAGAAAGCAAGCAAGTGAAACTCCATCATATAAGTATTAAGTAAAGATTCATTAACTTCAAAAAGTGAATTTAAGTTGCATAACACTAGTAAAGTACATAAGATGTATCAAGAAAGCTAAAAGAAAAGGTTGAAAGTTACATGTTTCATTATTTCCCTCCAGCAGCCATCCTCTTTCGTATTTCATGCGCAGTGTTGAATATCCCAAGTGTAGGCTGGTTGCACACATAGCACTTTTTCTTCTTTGCATGATGCTGTACAATAAATACATCACAAATTCCAAATAAGTCCCCTCCCCTCCTTGTAATTGTATATATATATATATATATATATATATATATATATATATATATATATAGAGAGAGAGAGAGAGAGAGAAAATCAATCATACCTTTAAAGCACAATGCTCACAGAAATAATGCTTGCACTTGGTCATTACCGGATCAACAAACGGCTGCCTGCAGATAAAACAAGCAAACGGAAGTCCATCCTCATCTTCATCATCATCATCATCATTATGCTCATCTTCATCCTCATCATCATCATCATCGCCCTTCAATGCCAATTTCCTCTTTCTTGCCTTCTCTGCTTCATCCCAGTCTCTCTCCATCTGCCATCCAGACTTATAATCCCCACGATCATGCATAAACTTACAGGAATCACCATACCCACAATACCCTGTCTCCTTATAATCCTTACAAATGTCCGGCTGGTAATCAAACCTTGCAGAAACCCTAATATGAGCAGAAGCTCTCAGTGGTCCATGAGATCCACCTGCTTTCTCACTAGCAACAGTTTGCTCTCGCCTAAAACCTGCCTTGTAATCCGTGTATCCATGAATACCTTTATACAACTTCTCATCACCATTTCCATTTCCATTCCCCTTCCCTTTCAAAGCCTGGTCTGCTTGCTTCAAAACTCTTTCCCGAATCGCCCTTGCATCTCTAGAAAAGTCTGTCTCTGTTTCTAATGTTGCAGTGGCTCTACTGTCGTTTTGAACTTGAATTTCTTTAGAGGAATCAAACTGGAAAATTGTTGCTTTTGTGTTGTCAGCCTCTGGTTGTTGTTGTTGTTCTGATCGCTTAGATGATCCAGTAGCAAAATGTAACTTATTGTCAGCTGCCACAGCCTTTTTCTTGTTGATCACAACAGAAGGTTCCTCTTCTTCGTCCATTTCATCATCATGAGCTCTTTTTCGGATGTTTTTCTTCTTTGATGGTTTTCTAAAAAAGTTGCACACTGTATAAAAAAAAAGATCAGATTCCATAGACAGTGAATGGGATTCGAAAACAATCAAGATAAACAACATACCTTGTTCGGTGTTTTGTTGTTCTTCGGGTTTTTCAGCCATACGGATCGATTACAACTTAGAGTTTTGGATATTTGTAGTCAAGAATGATGCCACAAAATTGCTGTTATGATGGTATGACAGCTGTAAATAGATGATGATGATGAATTAATTAGTGTTTGAAATCCATACAAAATGACCAACATCAATTCAAAATAAACAAAGTTTCTTTCACAATTTGTTAAACATGAAGACATAAATTGTTAAAAAATAACCAATAACAGTACACATACTTCAACCCTGATGCAGACTTTGCTAACTTCAAATAAAAATAAAAAAGAAAACAGAAATACTCCTAATGCCATATTGCCATTTGAGCCAAAATGGCATCAAACCTTGGCCATTGGTGGTTGTAAATGTTCTTGCGGTCGAGGAAGAAATCGAAGAGGGAGGGTGAAATCACAGCACTTCGTTGATTAAGGATGTAGAGACCAGTCTGATGAAATTCTAGGGCATGTATAGTTTAGCCCAATACATTTCTCCTAAGCATTTCATCGAACAGGTAGTAGACCACACTGAACGGACACACATTAGGTAGAAAAAGGGGAAAACAACATCGATACCAGCAAAGTCAGAGAACAAAAAAAATTGATTCTATTAACATAAGAAAACCATTTCAGCGAAAAGGGACGAGTTTTAGGGTAAGAACAAAAAACCTTACCTTGATGGCTGCTGACGAAGAGTTTGACGGAGCTGGATGGAAGCGCTGGCGATGCTGGCGGAGACGGTGACCGGTTGGTGGCGGAGTGTTGGCGGAGGGTAGGGTAAAACAGATATGAAGAGGGAAGGTTGCGGAACACTTCTGAGGTTCTAAATTTCGAATCACAATTATTGAGGAACGCCAAAGCACAGAAAGAAGTGGGCGGTGGTATCGGCGTCGTTACCGGCGTCGGCGTCGCTGGCGGAGGGAGGCGGGGGATGGTTGCAGATCGGAGAAGGAGTGGCGTCGATTGAGTAGAAAGAAGTGAAGAGGGAAGGTTGCTGAAACGGTAGGGCAAAAGGGAATACGCGTCCACCGATCTATCCTCGTCGGCTGCCAAATTCAAAAATTAATTCGGGCAGTGGCTAAAAGTTGCACGTTTCATCCGTTTCATCCCTTCCTAAAAAAATAATTTTGCCCTTATTTTATTTCTTTTTTGATTTATTTTCTATTTAATTGTTATTTATTAATTGTTTATTGGTTTTGTTATTATTATTATTATTATTATATATATGAGAAAAGAGAATATACATTACAGCCCCACCTAAGCTTAGGTACTAAACCTCTTGAAAATACATTGTTTTACTATATAAAGATTACGGTTAATGGATTCACGATTAATAATTCAAGATGTAAATTCAAAATCGACACAATAGGGTTTAGGGTTTAGGGTTTAGAGTTTAGATTTAGGGCTTAGGGTTTAGGGTTTAGGTTTAGGGTTTAGTGTTTAGATTTAGGGTTTAGGGTTTAAATTTAGGGTTTATGGTTTAGGTTTAGGGTTTAGTAATGTTTACTTGGGTGAAGTAATAAACGATAATTGAGGAAAGAAAACAGGGATGGTAAAACGATAATGAAAGAAAGAAATGTTGTGGAGGATGATATATTTACCAAGTGAAACCAAACCGGGTATAACTAGCATGTTAAGACGACATATTTTAGAAGTTTAGTACCTAAGCTTAGGTGAGGCTGTAATGTATATTCCTTATCCCATATATATATATATATATATATATATATATATATATATATATTTCCTTTAATAAAAGAAATAGACTATAAACCTACATATATATCGTCACCCTCCCCCCATTTCTACTTCAGTTTGTCTTTGTGCATCTCCTCACTGGACCAAGTCACAAGTACACCGGAGAATAGGGGGATTCAGATCGGAGAAGTAGGTTCAGATCGAACACAAACCGTCTCCATCGACGGCCCTCTTCTGCGTGTACAACCTCTTTCCCACTATGTATAGCCTCCTCCTGAAACCAGTTGAACTCCAACGGTGGTTGCGACACACGAAGGAAAAAGAGATTATCGGTGGTGGTGACGCTCGATCTGAAACCCACAAAGTGAAATCCTTCATGAAACCCCTAACACCTTGTTCCCGATGAAACATCCCAAAATTCAAGACCAAAAATTTCATTTTTAATCAAGTTATTATAAAACCATCAGTATAAGAAAACATCCATAATAACGTTCCATGTCAAAATCAAAGTGTCAATAATCAAAACATGTTATCATATAATAATATCAGAGTGTAATCCCAAAGATCTCATATGCGGAAAACATAGTGTGATACGCTGCGATCGAGCCGGCTCCTTTCCTTTGAAAACGAAGTACCTGAAACCAAAACTGAAAATTGTAAGCACGAAGCTTAGTGAGTCTCCCCAAACTACCACATAACATACACTTAATCACATAACTTGGGCCTAGCCCACTACATCGGGTCACGCCCGACATCGGACCAAGATTCGATATACATATAAACATATCAACAACGCTCATAACATAAACACATAACATAAACATAACTTGGGACTCCGCCCAGTTGCATCGGGACGAACCCGACATCGGCTTACCCGACATCAGGCACAATTTGACAGTCATTTTTCTATCATATCAGCCCCGCCCGACATCGGGCTTACCCCGGCATCAAACTGCGTCTGGCACTGGGCCTCGCCCGGCATCGGGCTTGCCCCGGCATACATATAACATATCATATAACATAAGCATATAACATAAGCATGTAAACATAAGCATATAAACATAAACATATAAACATTCATCGGGCTTGCCTCGGCATTGGACCGGAGTCTGGAACATATAACACATAACATATAAGCTAAACATGCATCGGGCTTGCCTCTGCATTGGACCGAAGCCCGAAACACATAGCACATAACATATAAGCTATACATGCATCGGGCTTGCCCTGGCATCGGACCGAAGCCCGAAACACATAACGCATAACATGCATGAATCACAAAGACATCAAGCATACATAAACGTTCCTCGGGACCGCCCCGACATCAGATCGTAATCCGAAAGCATATAACCTACATCGGGCCCTGCCCCGCATCGGACCGTAGCCCGGAACTACTAACATCTAAACGGGTCGGCATTATGGTCGTAGACCCGTTCCTACTAGAGAAAACTCACATCGCACTGTTGAAGTCCCGCGGACAAAACCCTAGCTGCTGGATGACAGATTCCCGAATCTGTCAACATCAAAATATCACCCAATTAATAATTGGGTCCCAACCCATATCCATAAGCCCATGCTTGGGGTAAAAGGATTCTTTACCCCTAACTTAGCTTGATTCAAGCCCAAGGTCCAATCCAAAGGCCCAAAAGTTTATTAATGAACCAAGACCCAACATATGGCCCAATTTTCCAAATTGGGCCCAAACCTCTACATGGTCTTCCCTAAGGCCCAACCATTTATTCTTGTCCAAACATTTGGCATTCGAATGGCCCAATATCTCATAATCATCAAGGCCCAAATTATAGCCCATCTATGGCCTAATTTTCTAAATTGGGCCCAACCCCCATATGGGCCTTACCCTAAATCCCATCTAAATATCCTAGTCCATATGATTGTTCTTGGATGGCCCATCAATAGCCCAATCACCAAAGACCAATAGAAAGGCTTAACTTAAGGCCCAAACAAGATTAGGGTTTTCACATAAAATGGCGATTAGGGTTAAGTGTTTCTAACTTAACCCATTAAGGACTTAATCCATTAAGTCCATCACTCTACTAGGTCAAATAACAATGTGGTCGGGATTAATTCATGATTCCAATCCAATGGTCCAAACTTGCTGGTCCCGACAATTCCAAATTAACATATACAAAATTAGGGTTTCCAATCCAAACATATCCCAATTAGTCCATTGTTAATTTTTTAGGTCAATTAACTATTAATTAAGTTGGGTACCACCCACTACCACCTCGGGTAGTGGTGGTCAATGGCGGCTCATGGTGGTGGTGACAGATTTCCTTAACCATTCCAATCAAATACAATATTACAAAGAATTATCCAAATGAACGCGCACACACACAAATAACACATACACGCACACCTAACCACCCTTGTGGCGGCAGGCGGTGATCAGAGGTTGCAGCCACCACCTCATGGTGGTGGTGATGGCTTCACTTTTGGTTCCCGGCCAAGCAATGACGCCCAATAACGCAAAATAACGATGCAACACACACCTACACTGGATATCTCTAGAAACACACCCACAGCCACCATCTTCGCGGCAGTCACGACCGAAAAATAACCTACAAAAAGGGACAGTCGCGACGAACGACGACGGCGGAGGACGTCTGGTGATAGCTCGGTCTTCGATCGGCAGTAACCACGGCGACTTGGCGTATCGGCAGCAAGAAATGGAGGAGGAGTCGTGAGCCGGAAAAGCGACTCGTTCACAGCCCACGCAACGATGACGCTTACAGCTTCCCTCATCGGTCCTCGGCGGCTCCTACGGTTGCACTAACGCCTCCGACAGCTGGGACTGTTGTGGTGGCATCCGACGATTGGAACGGTAGTAGATGGTGGCGATAGAACGGTTTAGTCTTCAGCGAAACGGCACGTCGGCAGCGAAGCAGCACCGATGGATGATTTCGTCGGAAGCAGTGGTTCACCGGTCATCTTGGTTGATCGGGAAAACGAATATGGTGGCGGCTGAAGAGTTACAAGCGGCGGCTGCTGCAACTTAGGGTTAGGGTTAGTATGGCGAGGGTGGCGGGTTATAAACCCCGTCCATTTTGAAACTTCTGCACATTTACAAGTCTGGTCCCTCCCCATAGGATCTTTGCAAATTAAGCCCAAAACTTACCCTTTAGCCCCTGCCTCCAAAAAATCTTTTCGACCTTAATCCAATATTTACCATTTAGCCCCCAACTTCTAAAAATCCTTCTAATCTAAATCCAGAATTTACCAAACAACCCTCAACCTCCTAAATTCTTTACAAACTAATATGGGAATTACATTTTAATCCCTAAAACTCCAAATCATGTCATTTGACTCCCCGAAACCAATACCCCGATAAGTATTAGAGATTTTAGGGCTACTATTCATTTATTAATCTTTGTCTATTTATTTATCTAATAACCGAGATGCTACACCCGAGTTCTACTTAAAGAGGGAAATGGAAGGATACGGAGGGAAAGTGAGGGATGTCGAAGGAAAATCGTGTTCCCGAGTTTCATTGTCACAACTGCATTTTAGCTAGGAAATTCTATTCTTGTGTAACCATTCAACTATTGTAAAACATATACTCTAAGTAAATCTCACTCAATGCTCATTTAGATTCACCATTCATGTTCATCAAAGAGTCTTAAGCCCTAAGATCCATGGTTTAAGTCCATATTGGACTAGGATTTCCTTATTGGGCCTAATGGGCCAATAAGCATCCAAATCAACCATTTTGGGCTTGGAAACCCTATTTGGATTCTAATTGGACCCACTTCCATAAAACTTAGCATTTTGGGCTATTTTGGGTCCAAAATAAAATTAGTTTACCCTTAATGGGCCTTACTGGGCCATTGCTAACCCAATTAACCTTAGTGAGCCATAAACCCATCCTTTTATTCTATTTGGGTCGTGAATGCTTCCAAGGGCCCAATAGGCCGAAAAATTTTATGTTTAGGTTCCAAAGATCCTAACTAAAGTTAATGGGCTCAAACTATTCCATCCCTACCCTTCTTGGCCCAAACTCTCGGCCCAACACCATTTAATAATAAAAAAAGGAAATGAAATGAAGGGGGGGTTGACTTTGGAGGTGCCACCTCCATAATACACACCATGTATCAAGGCATGGTTTCTCATGTTCCCATGCTAGTCACCTCACCACTCTTTCTCCCCTCTCTTCTTCTACTTTGGGCCGAGAGCCAAAACACATACACATACTCAAAGATCCTCTCCAAACATCTCTAAAATCATCCTCTTCTTTCATTAAAGATCTCAAGGTTTTGTTTGTGCTTCAAGAGTAATCTTCAAGGTTTCAACTTCTTGGTAAGTGTTTACTATATATATAAACACATATTACCCATCTTAATGCTAAAAATCTTTTCTTACATAACCTTCTTTCATGTTCAAACTCATTAGAAGCCCCTAAGTTCGAAAACTACTCAAAGGAGTTTGCTAGGGTCGAAAATCACTTCATCTTTTTCGATTCTTCTTCGAAAACCGACACATCAAGCTAAGGTGAGTTCATACCCCCTTGTTTTCGGCTTTCATATGATTTTTGGGAGAGAATGCAAGTAAAATGTGTAGATCTATGTGTTATATGCATGTTTTGTGTGAATTCTTAGTTTATTGGTAAAAATGTGTTAGATCTTAGCAAATCTTGAAATTTTAAGTAATATTGAACAAATATCTATGAACTATGACATTATATACATCACACTATCAAGCCAAAAGTGATTACATGTTTAAGATACAAAAGATCTCAACAAAAACCTTTTTAAAGGTCAAAAATTGTCAAGACAACAAAAGATAAGGGCAAAAAGTGACATTTATGTTTTTATAGGGACCAAACAGGTCCTACTTGTATAAAAAGGGATTTTTTTTTATAAACATACTTTCCAAAGGGCCAAAAATGTAATTTTTAGCTTAATGGGCCAAATATTTGGGCCTCACGGTTTTGGGCCCAAAATTGCGAAAAATAAAAGTTTTGGGATTAAAAATGTTATTTGACCAAAGTTTGAGTCATAAATGTAAATAAACCAAATTTAGGGGTGAAAATAACAATTATTTTTAAATTGGACCAAAAATGTAACTTTTATAAAAATTGGGCCGAAAGTGCCAATTTGACAAACAAAGGGCTGAAAATGCCATTTTCTGTAAAACTGGGCCTCAAATGTCAAAACATATATTTTTGGACTAAATCCGTGAATTTCTAGACATTTGGGACAAAATTACAAATTTTTATACATTACGGACTAAAGTGTCATTTTTACAAATCTTTGGGCCTTAATTGAAAATTTGAGGCTTTTTGGACCAAAAATGTTATTTTACAAAAAGGAGACTTTTTATAATCAACTTGGTAAACCTCGAACAAAAATAAGCAACAATACAATAACAAATGGGTGAAATACAACGATAACAATTTTATTGGGTCAAATATTCATGTTACATGGTCAATGGGCCTTAAGAGCCCATTTAAGTGTATATTTAGCCCAATATTTTCCATGTCATGTTTATTGGGCCATGCGACCCATTTACATGTTAATTTGGGCCTGGATTATGGATCACATGTTGTTGGGCCTTCGTGGTCCATTTACATGCCTATTGGGCCCAAATTACCCACTTACATGTTATTGGGCCTTTGTGATTCATTTACATGTTAATTGGGCTTGGACTGAAACTTACATGTTTAGTAGATTGAAATTATACCTTTACATAACTATTGAACTTCGTATACTTATATATATGTACCTTTGGATTTGATAACATACAACATACACGTAAACATTAAACATAGTACGAAAGGTTGAGAATCTAGTGAGACGTGGCGGTTGGCACCTTTGAGTGTACAATCGTAGCTTGTAGTTATAATCAGAGTCTCCTGGAGGGAGAGCGAGAGTTTGTGTATAGATCTATACGGGGTGACCCCCCCACGCCTTAGCTGTTCGCTACAGCTAGACTAGGCCAGTCTAGGGCGACAAAACCTTGAGCGAATACCGACATTTGGAAAAATGTTAAGACAGGCAACCTAGTCATTATTATGTATGATTATAACGGCTCATATAGAGATTCAATACCAAATTTAACATTTCGAAGATTAACCCTTCGATTGTGTCAACACAAAAACAACATATTAAACGATACAAGAACCTCGACATTATAACAAATCAGAAAATATCGGATTTTCTGGGGAAATACAATTGTCCAATTATCACTTACTTACAATACAAAGAAATCTAAACTACTTTTATATATGTCACTACTGCGAAATTCACACATGCATTTATACTTGATTTCCACATCATTTTCAAACATTTTACAGAAAAATATCAGATTTTCTGGGTTTTTACGAAAGATACAAAGACTTTTACTCAACCATACTTATGAACTCACCAACATTATATATGTTGACCGTTTTCAAAATAACTTGTATTCTCAGGTAATCGTTAAGCTGGAAGAATTTCAAGTATGTATGGAATTATTTTGTGTAACATTGTTCATCGCACAATTAATACTTTGAATTTATGTAATGTATAACAATGTACCTGATGTGAACAATGCTGGTTGTTATATGAAATGTTGGTGATGAATATTTTACGTTTCATGTGTATTCATTGTAATGATAATTCAATTGTTAGTCACACGAGCCCCCAGACGTTTCCGTCGTCTGGTTCGGGGGTGTGACATTCATTAATGGAAGGAAAGTGGGGGGAGGGAAAGGGTTTTAGAGCCATATTTTCCTTCCAAATTTTCCTCCCAAATTGGGCGGATTTGGGAAGAAAGTGAGGGGAAGGAAAATTTTAAGTTTTATTTTCTTTTTCCTCCTAACTCGGGAACACAAAAACTTAAATTTTTCCTTTCATTTCCTTCAAACTCGGAAACACGGAATAATGAGTATTTTCCTTCCCCTCCCTTTCTTTCTGTCAAAATTTTATTTCCCTTTCCTTTATTGAATTTCAAAAAAAACTCGGGAACAAGGCGTTAAAGTTCTCAATCTGAAACCACACATCTCCTCCCGATTTCTCAAAACCCTAGCACCCGGGTAACGATGGTGACATTTTGTTTGCTCTCTCTCTCTCTCTCTCTCTCTCTCTCTCGGGTCAATAGACATACACAATGTGTGTTTGTGTTTTGTGTACTCTGATTTGGAAGAAGAACGAGGAAACAAATGGCGATGACGACTCAAGGGTTTCAGGAAAAAACCAGGTGAGATCAGAGGGAGAGAAACCAGTGTGTAGATTTTACGTTTTCAAAAGGATCCACCACCATTTTTGATTTCTGGAACGAGTTTGAGATTTCTGGAACAATTTTTAGTTTCTAGAATCATCTGGCTTGCAAGTATCAGATTTTTGATTTTTGATTTTCAATTTCTCGAGAATATCATATCAGGAGGGGAAGATAAGGGGTGGATGCACACATTTTCGGTGTTGCTCCATTTTTCCGGTGGTGATGCCGGTAGTTAAGCGTTCAACAAAAGAGAAAAAATATATATACTTTAGGTTTAAAGAATTAAAGTTGGATGGAACCATAACTTTAATTAAAGTATTTTTCAATAATAAAAAATAATCTGAAATGTTAAAAATAAATGAAAAATAAATTGAAAAGGGCATTGTAGTCATTTCATGTCTCACAAAGGGATTAAGCACGTAAAAATAAATTAACGAGGGATGAAACGTGCAACTTTTAACCAAACGAGGGACGATCCGAGTTAATTTTTGAAAATAGAGACTGAACGTGTATTTTGGCACCCGAACGAGGGACGATCCGTGTAATTT